CCCCCCCCCCCCCCCCCCCCCCGCCCATTGCCTAAGCAGCGAGTGCAACTGATGAGGGGGTGCACCGGTGCTGTCGGGGTGTACGTGCACCCCCTACGTGTCGCCACTGTACAGGAGGGAAGGAAATATTGACTCTCTTATGTGCTGGGGTGCTTGTCAAGCATTAATTTATTGGTGGCAGGGCAATCTTTTTAGTGGGATGTGCCTCAGTAGTGTTGATGATGAGTCATGTGTTTCTGTTTGCTGTGCTAACTTGGTGATTGCTTGACAGCTGCAGTTTCAATCATGGTAAAAAATCTAGCCAGAAAGAAACTAGAATGGATGTTTCACATCTAAACAGTAGGTGAATACCCAGATAGAAGGACATGGCATGGCTTGGGACACCTGTGTTTTAAGTTGGCAGATAGGTTTAGCTTTTGAGTTGGTAGGTGGCATAGGAAAGGTGATCCTTATGGAAATAGGAAAACCTAGCTAGTGTGGATCAAAATCAGGGATAGTGTACATGTGTCCAATGCAAGCAAGCCTTTCTTATGAAGTTCTTTCAGTATGCCCGAGTCCTGCCATGGAGCTACATTTGGCCATTGTCCTGGCTGGCTGTCTGTCTTGTAGGCGGCAAATTCTGCCAGTTCATCAATTAGATTGATGTGGTAATACCCAAGAAATCATTGGTAACAGGCAGGAATTTCAATTCAGTACTCTTGCAGTGAAAGCTAAGAATAAGCAGCCCACTGTACAACCTATCCATAAGATTTGCGAAGTATGAACTGGGGATAGCAGTTTTGTTTTTTTTTTTTCATCTAGTGAGATGAGTGACACTTCCTCTCTCTTTCATCATTAGGTTGACACCAGCAGGATTGTTCATATTCATTCTGTGATCATCCTGCGCCGTTCTGATAAGAGGAAGGACCGAGTAGAAATTTCTCCAGAGCAGCTCTCGGCTGCTTCTACAGAAGCAGAGATATCCTTTTACAGAGGCTGCAGCCATTTACTTGGAAGCAAATGTATCAAGCAGATTTGTAGGCCACAAATTTTTATGATGGAGGACTATCCTGTATTTACGTTGGTCAATACAAAGTTGATTATAACCTTTAATTACAAGGTCCATTTGGGAGGTTCTGGTCACCTTTCCTGCAACGCTTAAAATATTTCAGAATTATGTAATGGAACCATACTAGAACCTACTGTTCTTGATCTGTTTCATGTTACACATTCAAGAGTACAGTCTAAAGCAGCATTTCTCAACCCGTGGGTTGGAAGAATATATGAAAGGTTTGGTTGCGAACCAACTTAAAAAAATGGATCAACAAACTTGAAAAATGGATTCTCCTTTAAAGAAAAAAGTCAGAATCCATGGGTTTTTCCATGCAGGCTGGCAGAGTTCCAGGCTGCTTGGGGCTGTGGGTAGCAGCGGGAAGGAGGGCAATCAGGCAGGGGGTGCCATGTAGCAGCCAGGCTGTGTGGAGAGCAGTTCCTGCAGCTCCCCACAGGTAAGTCTATGAGGGAGGGAGGGGCATAGTGTCAGGGAGGTGGGGGGCGGGGCACAGATGACTGCCTGCCACCCCACCTCTCTGGGGTAGAGCCATGGCCTGAGGGGAGCAGTGGTGGTGGCTGGGCCATGGCATCAGGGTTGAGATGCAGCCTGGCACATGAGCAGCTGGCCGCAGGAGAAGGTGAGGGCATTGTGGTCCCTGCCCTATCTGTTACTCATTGCACTGCTGCTGGTGCGGCCGGCATAGGGGTTCCAGTGGCAAGGGCAGCAATGAGTCTCACCGCCCCGCTCCTGCTCTCCCATGCCAAGTCCTGCCTGCTGGGCCACGGAGGCAGCTCCTGTCTGTACTGATCCAATGAGGCTGCAGCCCTGTGCCTGCTGTGGGTGTACATATTGGATTGGGAAATGTGCCCCCCAT